TCATTTTGCTGCTTTCCATATTCTCTTTGGATTTTGTCATTTTGAGTATAATGTATGTATCTTGGAGCTTTCCAAGTTGACTGTATTTTCACTGGGACTCTTTGGGTCTCTTGGGTCTCAGTTCTGTAATCCTCAACTCTGAAACGTTCTTACCGATTATTTCTTGACTGTTGTTTCTTCGTCACATTTGCCTTCCTGTCCTTCAGTGAATCTAAAGATTTTAATATTGTTCCTTTTTATCTCATTCCATAGTTCTCTGACACGCTATTCACTTCTTTTTAAGCTAGTTTACACTTTCTGCTGTTTCCTAGGAGTCTTCTTTCTTGGAATTCCTCGATCTTTTGCTTAGCTTCTGTTATTCTGCTTTTCAGAGCTTCTACTGGCTTTTTAATATCACCTACCATGTTCTTAATTTCTGTCATTTCTGACTATAGTAGTGTTTTCATTTCAACTCTCATACTTTCTCATGTTTTGCTGACTAAATATGCTATCGGTTCTTTGAGCTCATTGAACATCTTTATCCTAATGGCACTAAAGATACCGTCTGAGGATTTACTGGCTTTATGCCTTCAGTGACACTGTTTTTGTTCATTGAGCTTGATGGGTTTCTATTTGGTGTTTTCCCCATGATTTTCTAGTGTTCTTCCTGTTCTAAGATTCAGTCTTTGTACTTAAATACACACACACACACACACACACACACACACACACACACACACACACACACCCCTCCAGAAGATGCTCAGGTATCAAAGCGAGAAATTGCCCTCTGTCTTCTCAGGTTGGAGGAAGGATCTGTGGTTTAGGCCCTTAATACCTTTAATGTGATTATGGAACAGGTCAGGTGACAGTGGAGGCTGCTGTCACTCACTTAGGAGGGAGGGGCTCTACTCCCACTGGAACTCTGCCACCTGTTTGGAATATTCTCAGTGATAACAGCCAGAGGCCAGCCTCACATGGGATGGTGGAGCAGCAAGCAGAAAGTTAGGTATGCTGATTTCAGTTATATTTTCTGGTAGGTATTTTCTTCTTTCTTGTTTCCAGTTTGATCCAACTCTTAACCCTTGTTTACAAATTTAGTCCTTTACTAAGCATTTATTAAACTATCTCTACCAGATAGTATTATATTAGCTTGGGTGATGCCATAAATAAAAAGTACAACTTTCCCCTAGAAGGTACTTATTGCATAGGGGAGGGACAAATGGTTAATGTATAGAAATGTAGTAGGTGCTATACTAGGGGTGCGTTTTATAAACAGAGAGGCTTGAAAATAATAGCAAAACATTTACTTTGTTTTGTTATTCCAAACAAAAATATTTGTACTCCTCAACAAATCTCTGAGTTACTCATTACCATTTTACAGATAAAGAAACATTAAGAGTGATTTAGGTAGTTTGCCTAGGCCCCACATTTACTGTGATTTCAAGCCAAGCTTCCTATTTCCTTGTAAAGACACCGATGTTGTGTCCTGAGTTTGCATAGGTTAGTTGGGATTTTCAAGATGAGTAAGTGACTTCAGATGGAAGAAAATAGCTAGTGTGGAACGTGTTTAGGAGAGTAAGGTAAAGTGTGAGGAGATTAAATTGCTTAATTGTGCTGTGGGGAGGGGAGTTTGGACTATACCTGCTGGTTGCTGGTTCTCAATAGCCACTCCTGAAGTGTTCAGGAGATCATTCTGTGCCAGGATCAAATCCAGACTCCAGCATGCAAAGCTGTATGCTCATCCAATTGAACTGTCTCTCCAGCCCTATTTGTGTTTTCTTTAAGATTGTTTATTAGGAGTTATCTCTGAGTATTTAATAACTTGGACTTTCCTTTTCCCTACTCTGTTATCTCTGCTTGCCCTCAATTTGTCTTTCCATTTGTTTTGACTTTGTCCCAGTAGTTTTTCTTTACATATCTGGAGCTTTCTTGTTCATTTGTTCTCACTAAGAGCAACACTGTGAATGAGTAGTATTAATAAGTGTGGGTCTTCACTCTTAGGTGATCTGTTGGCGCCAGCTTGGCTTTGTTTTGTGAATTACCAAGTTTCAGTTTATTTTCTGTACATAGTACTTTTTCTCTCCACTTTGTTTCTACTTAGCATACGTAAAATTGGATATTTAACAATGTGAAAGCAGGATAGGGACAGTAAATGAGGGTTTACCAGTAAGAGCCACACATACTTAGCTTTTCATTTGGACTTGGGTTGTTTCTGGTTTTGTTTTGTTTGTGTTCCGCCCCAACCACACACACACACACACACATCACACTATGCTCAGAGCTTAACTCCTGGCTCTGACAGGAGTGATTTAGGAATCACTCCTGTCTTGGCTCTGAGTAAAATATGGGGTGCCAGGAATCGAATCCACATTGGCTGAATGCAATGCAAGAGGCCTACTCCCTGTACAGTCCCTCTGGCCCCATTCTTTAATTTGATTTCCTAGAGATGGGTCCTACCAATCTTTTGAAATGTCTGTTGCTTTATTTACTGTTTCTGGGTTTCAGAGATACTGAAGACATCTGTATTCTGAAGGCAGATTGGCTGTTAGAAGTTAAAGATGAGAGCTTTCTTTTTTTCTGCCCTCCTTCTACCTGCTTCAGGGTACTTTATATTCCTGAGGGTTTCTACAGATTTCTGTAGCTGTAATGTGCTTCTCATTGGAATTTTCTTCTATAGACTCTTGGGTTTGATTCTTCTACATTCTCTAAATTCCTTATCTGTATTCTCTCTGCAATAGTTTGGAGATTAAACATCCTAATTTTGTTGCAGATGATACTTGTATTTTTTATTTTTTGAAGAATTTTATTTTTGAGAAATATGACTGCTGAAATAAGTGATTTGAGAAGAGTTAACTGTCTTTTTACATTAGAATGGTTGATATTCTTGATTTTTAAATTTTTGAATTATTTTGTAACTGGGTTTGTTGGGGTGTTTTTTTTTTCTCTAAAACTCAAAATGGCCCCAGGATCTGGAGCTATTGTATATCTTCCTCTCTCCCACATTCTTTTGCAACTAATAAAGCTGTTAATTTTTTTTAACATGAAGTAGAGTCTGTAATCAGTATGAATTCTAAGTCTTATTAAGATGTCTGTCCTTCCTGCTTCCAAATTTTTATCAGATTTCCTTTTTATAAAAAATTTTTTGTAGAAACTATTAAATTATTTTTATTCCTATAAAATTTATTCTTTTATTATTGAGTCCTTCCTTTAGGGAACGATCACGACCATCCTGTTGTTTGTCAATTGCCTCAAGCAGGCCTCAGTAACGTCTCCTTCGTCCTAGCCCTGAGATATTTTAAAAGTGCCCTATTCAAGGCTGTTTCAGAGTTAGGAGAATGAGACCCATCATTGTTACTGGTATTTGGCATATTGGGTACGCCACGGGGAGTTTGCGACACTCTGCCGTGTGGGCAGGTTACATTCGGTAGCCTGCCAGTTTGTCCAAAGTAGGAATGAGATAATAAGATGTCATGATAAGATGTCGCGCGGCCGCAAATGTGGCCACGCGCTTCGGGAGCTGGGTTTTATAGTCTCAGAGTCTTGGCTGTTGATGGGATTACACAGCGCCAGGGGGCCAGTTGGTGGGTATGACGCCTGCCTACTGGAATTTGGAGGATGTGGGTGGAGGATGCTCAGCCCCGATCAGAGCAGGCTTGGAGTGCTCCACCCCGGGACCCGCATGCCTTTGTTCCTTGGCCGGTACCTTCATGCGTGTGGAGAGTGGTCTCAGCATGGTGATGACTGGTTCTGGAGGTCTTCGGTTACCGGAGCCCTGGTCGGGGCAGGGAGGGAAACTCAACCCGCTCCCCTCCAAGGGGTCCCGGCGAGGACAGCCAGGCGCGGGGGCAGGAGATTCTGCCCCCTTTAGGGAAATACCTGCGTTTTTGTGAGGTGGAGTTTGTGTTCTAAATGCCATCTTAATTTTACCTTTCTTCTTGTCACTATTCTGTTCTTGTAAAATCTCTTTGACATTCTCTTAGCAAAATATATTAACAGATTATTTTACATCTGAGGTTTGTATTAGTATTATAAATGACTGATTACCAGTAATTATCGACAATAATCCCTTTTCTCAAAGTAGTTTTATGCAATTCTTAGTAGAACAAATTAGTTTTTCTGGAGCCAGGGCAATAGTACAGCTGGCAGGGCATTTGCCTTGCACACAGCTGACCCAGATTCAATCCCCAGCACTTCCTATGTTTCCCTATGCAGTGCCAGGAGTGATCCCTGAGTAGAGAGCCAGGAGTAAGCCCTGAGCAATGCTGGGTATGACACAAATAATTAGTTTTGTTCCTTTATTTTTTTTCCCTGGAAAGGGTTCAAAATTTGATATGAGGCCAGCAGTTCTGTAATTAGAGTATTTTTATTTGAAGTCAATCAGTTCCTAAAAATGGGATAGTTGATTGTTTTAAATATATAATTTTATGGTTTTGCCATCTAGATGTTTCGTAAAAGGTATGTAAGTAAATGATTATTTAGAGGCTTATTGCCATAAAGAAGCATTAGTAATTGTATTGTGATAAAATTCAAATTCAATTTTTTCTTGACCATAGTTGAGTCTCATTTCTTTTCTCTTTTCAGCGGGGTAAGGAGTGATGCTCGGTCGCTCTAATCAGAAATCACTTCTGGCAGAGCTCTGGGGCCATATGAGTGCTGGGGATCAAACTTGGGTCAGCCACATGCAAGACCAGTGCAATAGCTCCTGTAATATCTCTCAAGCTCCGTCAGTCTCATTTCCTGCATAGTTCTTCTTAAGCAAATTAATATTTTAATCTCAGAAATAAACTGGCATGTTAACTTGGTGTTCATTGGAAGAAAAACAGATTTAAGAATATAAGATATATTTAATGGAAAAGTGTAGGACCAATGAACTAGAAAATGTTAGTAGAGGATATTTCATCAAAAGCTGTTCTTTTTAAGGGTAATTCTGTTATTTACTCATAATTTATGGTGAAACAGAGGGAGATGGGCTAATGATTATTTTTCATCTAGTAACCTTTTTTCTTTTACTATTTTAGCCTACCCAATCAAGATCTTACAGTTGGGATGATAAAACTCATCAAAAGTCATCTATTTCTAATAGCATTTGGCATAGGAATTACTGCCCTGGAGTCAAGCTAAATGTTGTTACAAATGATGTAAGATCAAGGGAAAAAAGAAGTACTGTGGGCACTGAGCAAATAATTAGTACTAAAGCATTAAATCTTCCCCAGAAATCATCTGTTGTGAAAAGACCAAGAAGTGGTATGTATTTTACTTTTTGTGAAATACTAGTAAGTATTGTTCACATTTAAGAAATCTTTATTAAACCTCAGGTCACATAAGAGTTTCTCTATGTTGGGCCAGAGGGATACATAGATGTCAAGGTGCTTTCCTTGCTTATGTCCTGTCCTGGTTCAGCAAACCACATGATCTCCTAAGACCCTTATTTCCTTGGAAAAAGATTTCCTCATGTTTTCTAGAATTTTTATAATTTTGTACTGAAAAAGTGGACCAAGTAGTAGAAGATATGCCTTGAATGTGTGCTTCCTAGACTACAATCAGTTTTGAGGTAGTTTTTTTTATATGACATGAGGTAAAGACTAAGGGTCATTTGTTTTATATACCTTTTGTTAAAAAGATTATTTTGGGCAGTTGGAGTGATTGTGCAGGGATTAAGGTGCTTGCCTTACATGTTGCTCACCCCAGTTTGATCCTGGCACCTCATGTGGTCCCTTGAGTTCCACCAGGAGTGGTCCCTGAGGCCAGAGCCAGAAGTAAGCCCTAAGAACAACTGGGTATGGCCCAGCTAATCCCACCCCCACTCCTAACCCCATCCCAAATTACTTCATTTAGTTGTCTTGGAATTTTTGTAAGCAAGTAACCAAATGTCTGTTGATCTATTTCTGAACTCTTACACTGTAGCATTGGTGTCTTTTCCTTTTCTTATATCAAAAAATATTGTCTTCATTACTTTGAGATTATAGTGTGTAGTGTGTCTTGGAATCTATTAGTTTAAATTTTCTAATTTCTCTTGAAAAGTTGGCTATTCTGTATTGTTCATATTTTTATATACATATTAGAATCAACCTGGAATTTTTAAGAAATAAGTTCTAGTCTGCCATACATTGGGGGTGAGGTGGGGGATTTCTTTTGAGCTCAGGGCTACTTCTAAGATCTCTGCTCGGGAATGACCTGGAGGAAGGTGATCAGGGAACTATATTTGGTGCTGGGGATCCAAACAGATTCTACTGCATGCAAGGCAAGTCCCTTATCTCTTGTGCTATCTCTTTGACCTATAGTGGAATTTTTTTTGAAATTTTGTTTATAAATGTCAAAAAAATATATTTTTTTCATAATACAGTTGTTTGGCATTCAGTGAATGTTTCCATGCCAATCTCACCACTGGTGACTTTGCTTCCACCATTGTCAGTTTCCCACCCATGCCTCCAAGCCTTCACCTTAGCAGTCATAAAATAATTTGCTCTTTATTACTTTTTGTAACAAAATGGCAACTGGAATCATCAAAAATAGTTCAGTAAAAGAAAATTTGTGAAAATTGTTTTATTTTACAATGATGTTGTTAAAGTCTGAAGATTTACTGAGTTGTTTGGAGCTAGTTGAGCCTTCTGTGCTACTATTTTCACTTATTGAGCTTCATGGGCTTTTATGGAACCTCCCCATCTAATTTTTGGTGTTCCTGCTGGACTGTCTATCAGTATTGTAAACTTTGGAGGTGTTACACAGTCCTGTATGTAATTATACACTCCAGGAATTAGAAGCTGGGAAGATTCAGCGCCATGGCATCTCTTTGAGATTGGTGGTGAGGCTGTGCCCTTTATATGCCAGAGGCTTTCTGGTGTTGCTGGGCCTTCCAGCAGAATGTGGCGGGGGGAATTGGGGGTAGCTCCCCACTCCAAACTGAGAGGAGCGGAGGTCTCAGCTCAGAGACAGGTCTACGTGGGAGCTTCGTCAGCTTGGCATCTCTTACAAAATTCTTTAACTTTACTAACAGTAATTTATTTAAAAAAAATATTAAGCCTCTTCTGATGTTGCTTATTGGACCACATAGTGTCAGAAATTGAATCCAGGGCTTTATATATATAAGGCATTTATTCTACCATTTTATCCATACTTCTAGCCCCACCTCAAAATTTGATTGGGTTTTAATTGAATCTATAGATTAGTTTGGTGAAAATTCACATATTAATATTATTGAATTTTTTAATCTGTTATTTGCCTTCCAAAAAGGAAAAGAGTGAGTTATACCTGTTAAGGCCATCTTAAGTATTACAATTCATTGTTCTACCTAATTTTGGGGGGATGCTTAAATTGTCTTGTCTTATAACATGTATATAATCAGTGTCAATGGAAATTTGAGAAGTATGGTCACGTTACATACAATGGAACCAAGTTTAGTTTGAAACATGCTGTTTATTTAAATGAATACTCCAAATGCAGAAGTCTAGGGCAGATTTTTCAAACTAGGGACCAGAGAGAAAGTACAGTAGGTAGGCAGATAGTACTGCCTTGTAAACAGCCAACTCGGGTTGGATTCCTACCATCCCGTATTGTCCCCCAAGCAAGTAGTAATTACTGAGCACAAAGCCAACAGTAAGTTCGAGGACTACTTGATATGACCCCAAACCCAATAAATACATAAATACAACATAAAATAAATACAAATGCAAATTCAGATTTTTCAAACTATCAGATACCAATACTCTTTTGGAGAGTGGGGCTCCCAAGCCGAGCTTCGGAAGCCTGGACCACCCCCTATAGGCGGTGCTTGAGGGACTGACTGGGGTCTACCATGTACAAGTCTGCCCCCTTCTTTAGCTCTCTGACCCACCAGTAGTCTTCTAGCAGGGTTTAATTTGCTGCAAATTCACAGACTAATATTTAGTAGATTTTATTTTCCCTGCACTAACCACTAAGATAACATGAGAGATACTAAAGTGGCTTGCTCAGCTCAGGGTATGCCAAATGCATAGAATTTCCTCTGAATAGCTAAGCTAACAACCTTACTGCAAAATGAAAATCAAGGTGGATCTGGTGTAACTTCTTGGGCTAAGTCTTTTGGAGGTCAATACCTGTTTTTCCTTCTATAAGTTAAGGTCAGATCTCTGCATATAAACACATAAATTTTGTTTTTATTTTGAAGAACTATTAGATGATGATCTGTTGAGTCAGTATTATCCTTCATTTACAAAGAAGACAAGGAAAAATAGCTGTGAAGGAAATAAATCGCTGAACTCTTCTGAAACATCAATATCTAACCTGCAAGAGGAAACCACTAGCAAAAAAAACTTAAGTCCACAACCTACAAGAAGAAATAAATTTGCGACATTTTTACAGAGAAAACATGAAGAAAGTGGTGCAGTTGTGGTTCCAGGAACCAGAAGCAGGTATAGTTATATCTGTAGAATATTGTTTATCTGTTGTATTATATGTCTTATGCTTGGTGAAATAATATAGAAACTATTTTGATTCATATACAGTTCTTAGTTTGACTTTAACATACTCCTGCATGTTACTTTTATAACCTCAGTACACAACTGACCCAATAGAATTGGAAGCTTTGTTACAATTTGTTAGAAAAAATGCTATTTGATAGTTTCTCTGGCCTTCTTTGTTTATATTTTTTTGGTTTTATTACTAAAATACAAGCCCTGCAAGGGTTTTTAGAAATATATTTATGTAAAGAATATTATCGAGTTATAATATTCTAGAGTCTGATAATCAGGATGCTAAATTTCAAAAATAAAACATTTTGTTCTCTAGAAACTTAGCGAAAAATATGTGCGTAATTAAAATCCATTTTGTATGGTGAATGCAGTGAGGAGAGCACACATCAGGTGTTTTGAAGACATTGAAGGAACATCTAATGCTCTTAAGTCAGTAGTTGAAAAGGGAGAATAGGAAGAATAGATATAATCATGTGTAATTTCCTGGGTTTGAATGACTGGTAAGGTAAAGCTACAAAGATCGGAGCCAAGTACCTTCGTAGTAGAACCCTATAACTTGAGGCTTAGAGGTAGGCAACAGCATGGGACATGTTGTTGAACTTTGCCCTTGTTATCACTGCTAAAATGTAAGTTAGGAATAGGGTTATTCTAGGAATAACCAATAGGAATGTGGGAACAGAAAGAGACTATGAAAGACTTACAAAGAAAGCTTAAGAGTTACAGGAAACTTTTGGAGGGTTGCAGTCAGATATAATTTAGATAGATTGTTTCCTCTTAATGCACTGAAAAACAGATTCTAGAATACCAGAAATAGAGACGAAAGATCAGTTAAGCTTTTAGCATAGTTTCATTGAGTGATGATTAAATACACAGAAGAGTCCCTGTATTTCAGAGATAGAAATTTTGTCGCTGGTTTTGAATTTCACTCCTGTTCTGTTCACTCATGACATGTTTGACATCACATGTAGGTGCTTCAGTTTTCTTTTTTAAAAGATGGGGGTAACTATAATAATCTCAGTATTCTTGAAAGGATTAAGCTATTATTATAAGTACATAAAACAGTGTTTGGTGCTAGACAGTGAATAGGTGTTATTCTGGCAAGCTACCCATGACATACTCAATATGCCAAACACAGTAACAACAAGTCTCACGATGGAGATGTTACTGGACCTGCTCAAGCAAATCGATGAACAACGGGAGAACCGTGAACCATGAACCATGACTAGGTGGTGGTACCACAACCCAAAATAGGAAATTTGAGTGTCAGAAGTTATTTAGGCATAGAACTTGTGAGTTTAAAGCAAGGCAAGAGTACCCTGCCTGCTATATTATCTCTCTGGCTGCTCCTAGCTAATTTTCTAAGTATTTTTATGCATTTTCTCATAATAAAATTGACTTTATTTTCTCTATTTTGAGTTATAAGATTGAGGCTCTGAGAGATTAAATAAATACACAAAGTCACAGTGCATGTATTACAGATAAGTGCATTCAGAAAGTTCTGTCCAATAGTTATCAGTAAATTTTTAAATAATGTGAATATTGGCACTGACAAAATTTGGACTTGGAAAAAAATTCAACTCGCTTTGCCTTTTTGCCTTTATATATGTTTATAAGATGGAACATTATTTCATTTTTGAATTTTGTCACTTGTGAGAAAACTCTCCAATACTTAATAATGTCTTTCTGTTGTATTTGCTCTTAGGTTTTTTTGCAATTCTCTGGATTGTGTTGATTCTGTGTCTAAGAAAACCAGTGACAAGTCTGTAGATGAAACTGCTTTCACGGATAAAGAGAGCAATCTGAAAGAAGGGGATGATCAAAATGACAAGAAGCTAGTTAATATGAATATAGCACATAATTCCAGTAATCTGATTCCAGATAATGTAACTGGGATTAGCAAAGAGGAGTCCCAATCTTGTGTTGATTCTATATCTAAGAAAACAAGTGACCAGTCTGCAGATGAAACTGCTTTCATGGATAAAGAGAACAATCTAAAAGAAGGGGATTGTCAAAATGACAAGAAGCTAGTTGATATGAATGTAGCACATAATTCAAGTTATCAGATTCCAGATAATGTAACTGGGATTAGCAAAGAGGAGTCCCAGGCTTTTGAGACCTGTAAATTCACAAGGACCATTTCATCACCCACTTTGGGGACTCCAAAAAGTTGTTTCAGTTGGTCTGGAAGTCTTGGGAATTTTTCAAAGTCTCCGAGCCCCTCTTCAACAACAGCATTGCAACAGTTTCGCAGGAAGAGTGATTCTGTTATCTCTCAGACTGAGAAGGTTAAGATGTCTGATAGATCTCCATTGAAAGGTGATGAATCAGGCGATGAATCTCATCCCATCCATAAATCAAGTGGGTCTTCACAGTCTCAAGAACATATCAGATTTGCACCACAGAGTTTGAATGTATCAAAACTTTCAGAGGTAAGTCATATTTAGGTGTTTTTTTAAATTTTAATTATTTTTTTTTAAATGTAGGAGTGGGCTGGAGCGATAGCACAGCAGGTAGGGTGTCTGCCTTGCATGTGGCCAACCAGGATTCGATTCCTCTGCCCCTCTTGGAGAGCCTGGCAAGTTACCGAACGGCAACGCCTGGCAAGCTACCCATGACGTATTCGATATGCCAAACACAGTAACAACAAGTCTCACAATTTGTTTTGAGCTGTTACTGGTGCCTGCTCAAGCAAATCGATGAACAACGGGAGGACAGTGACAGTGAATGTAGGAGTACTGCTATTTATTCAGCCATTGATTAAGCTGATTGAATTAGTCGTGAACTCCACATTACTTTTTTTTAAATTCAGAATGTTAATTTTTATTATTATTATTATTATTTTAATCACCATGAAATAACAGTTACAAAGCTTTTCTGTTTGAGTTTCAGTCTTAACAGTGATCGATCACCCAACCTTCCACCAGTGCACATCTTCCACTACCAAGGTCTCCAGTATAACCCCCACATCCCACCCCTTCCCCTGCCTCTATAGCAGACAATCTCCCCCATACTTTCTTTTGTATTGCTTGTGATAAATAGCATAAGATGTGTGGGGGTGTGCTCCTGAAATTCTAAAATTTTAGATTAGGGTCTGGAGAAGTCTCTGCAGTGACCTGCTCAGTTTAGAGTTTCTTTTGTGTCACTGGATCATGGTCATTAAGGAGCTTAAGTAGCAGCTGGAGGCAGTTTGTGGGCGTGACCTCCAGAGTCCCATGGGGGCTGGGGATGAGAAGGACCAGCCCATCCGCTATCCCTTAAAGCCTGGAGTTTGCCATCACTGAACCCGTGTACCTGCATTTCTCATTGGGTTCTGGAAGTTGGCGGTCACCGGGGTTTTTTAGGGGGCAGGTGGAGGGATGACATCCACTTTGCCCCCATCAGCAGCACCCCGATGAAGTTGGCCTGGCTTACAGTCCAGAGGCATCTCTGTAGCAATGCATCTCTGCTCGTTAGGAAATTATTTTGTGTGTCATGGATCGTGGCCCTTGTTTCTATCTTTTCCAGAGAAATAAACTATCGGCATATGCCCTGCAGGGTGTACCCACTCACCCACAAAACACCTCGCTGCTGGCCCTAACTGTGGCTTTTTATCTCTTTCGAGATTTATGGGTCTCTGAAATAAGGCCAATAAATGAGCTTATATAGCTAAGCTGGAGGTAGTTTGTGGGTGTGGCTCCCACATACCTAATTTTTGGCCATTTAATTTCTTGATAAGCTTGGACCCAAGCTGTTGGCAACCAAAGGCATAGCAACAGTTTTGGAGTATCTGGAAATCTGAGGGCACCATCAGGCTGCTTGATGCCCCACAGGTACACGTTGACCTACTGGCAGCACCATTCTCTCCTTAGGTATTTTAGATTGATAGATATTATTTATTTATTTTTTTGGCACTGGGGATTGAATCATACATGTTAGGCAAGTGCACTGTCACTGATCCCCAACCCAATAGGTATTATTTAAATCTTGTGCTCTTGAATTTGACACTTGAAACAGGAACCATATAAGCAACTGTTCCATATTGTTTTAAAATTATTTAATGGCAATAGTTTTGTCTGTACTTTACCTCAGATTTACAAATTATCATGCTTTATCATTACCAACTATAATTACCAACTTGTTAAAACAAGTATAGCCTTGGTAATATCTGACAGAATCCTGATTATTGAATTGTATCTATTAAATCAGTATAATTATATTTATCAAAGGAACAAATTCTCGAGGGGAACTAAATTGGATAGGACCCAATTAGATGGGAAAAACCTCAGTTAAAAACATGGGGGAAACTATTGTTTTGGTCTGAAACAAGCTGAAATCAACACATTTGAATGCAAATTTTGACCATGTTTTTTTTTAAAGTACACTAACTCAGATCTTTCGTTCTAACTTCATTTCCTCCAGACTTGTGTAGGAGACTTTTAACATAAGTGTCCATAATGTCATCTTCTATTTTTTGCTTTATACTGCATTTATTCCCAGTGCCATCAGATACCACCATAGTTGTTTTCCTTTGAACGTCTTTTGTAAAAGCATCACTGTCAGTGAATACTTTCAAGTCTACTGAACTGTGGGGCTTCCTATTTCACTTAATTTTATAAAGTTTTAGCCTTGTATAGCTGAGATTTACCAGTTCATATTCCACAAACTGGTCATATTGATAGAACTACAGTATAGATATTTATGTTTTACATTTTAGGAGTAGTGTTCTGTGCTACATTCACCACCAGACCACAATTTCTTTCAGCCTTCTTCCTCCATCCCTCAACTCTCCCAGTAATCTTACATCTGTCCTTAGGTTCTGATGTAGGTGGACCCCATGGGTTGCTCACGTGACTTGGGAGGAGAGAAAGACGCTCACTTTCTCCCGATCCACCTCTGCCACCTGCCAGGGTTATTGGATTCTTGTCTCGCCTTGAAGAAGAAGAGAATTTCGGTTTACTGAAATTTCAGTTTTACTTCAGTAGACAAGCAGTGAAGTAAAACAGGTTTTATTTGGAGGTTTTGAAGGGAAGAAGGGAGAGAAAGTGGGAGAGACTGGAGAGTACCACGCTCAAGAGAGAACATGGGCTTCTTCAAAGGCAGAGAGAGGCCCTACACACATCCCAGCATTAGACAGGAAAGCATGAAAGTACACATCTCAAGAGGGGAGATGCAGGCGACACACGTACTAGGGCGCCGCATGTGCTCGGCCATAGGGGCACAAGCAGCACATGGGCTCAGGCAGCATATGCACGCCCTTCCTTTGTTCAACGTGGTTTTTATAGGTTCTTCTTCTTCTTGGGTTGTCTTGATCTGGAAGTTCTGGAATCTTCTGGGGCTGAATCATTGGAGTTAATCACTGGATTAAGGGAGAGGTCCGAGGGTTTGAGGAACTTCATTGGGAAGGGTCCGATCTCCTCAGGGTCTTACCACAAGTCTCTTTTCCGTATCCACGGGGTGGATCAGTCTTAGAATTTTCCTCCCAGTTTTGTTGACTTATGTTTCATTGCCAGGGCCTTTACCTGTCTACCTGCCTACATCTGTTCTAAGGGTTTGTTTTTATTGAAAACTGTATTGTTTTAAATGGGTGTTTTTTGTGTGTGTGTGTGTGATGTATCAGATGTTTTTCTTTTTTCTGGTTTAATTTTGCTTAATGATTCCCTCTCACTCCATCTACGTTATAGCAAGGGTAATAATAATACATATATATATATACACATATATAAATATATGTATTAACAAACTTCTTTATCCATTTGCCTATCATTGGGCACCTGGAATTATTAGCAAATCTTGACCTATAGTACATAGTGTTACAGTAAACTAAGATGCTGTGTTTCAGTTCACTGTTGTTATTGGAATAGATGCCATGGGTAGAATTGCTCAATCATTTCTCAGTTTTAATTATTTGAGACATCGCCATGCTATGTTCCAAGAGATTAAAGCAGGTTTTTTGTTTATTTGTTTGTTTGTTTTTCCTCTTCATATTCTCTCCAGGACTTGTTTTTTCTGGATTTTTTTTTTATGTAGGAGTATTGCTATTTATTTAGTCACTGATTAGCTGATTGAATTGTGCATGAACTCCACCTTTTTTCTTTTCATTTTTCATAATTTTTATTTATTGAATCACCGTGAGAACAGTTACAAAGCTTTCGGGTCTAAGTCTCAGTCATACAATGAAACACCCGTACCTTCACCAGTGCCCATTCTCCACCATCAAAAACCCCAGTATACCCCCATCCCACGCCCTCCCCCTACCTGTGTGGCAGATGATTTCCACATTAATCTCCCTCTACTTTGATCACATTCAATATTTCGACATCAGACCCACCATTATTATTTGAGATTTTACCCCAACACTCATATCTGCTGAAAAGGCAACAATAGACAATTTGTGTTCTGTTGCTGGTTATGAATAACATATGATGTCGCGTGGCTGCAGTAGGGCCATGTGGTTTTAAAATTCCAAAATTTTAACACTTAAATCTGGAGGGATTTCTACCAAAAGACACTGGGTTTCAAGATTTGCTCCTGAGTTTCTGGGATCATGGCCATTGAGCAGCTTGATCAGGAGCCAGAGAGGCCGTTCGTGGGCGATGACTTGGGGTCTCGTTGGAACAGGAAGACCAGGACCAGCTCCACCCCCATCCTGTGAGGCCCAACAAGTTTCGTCACTGCAGGCCCAGACCTGACTGTCCAATGGCCTCTGTAGGATGACGGCCACCAAGCCAGGAAGGGGGAGCAGGCAGAGGGACAACACCCTTTCCCTCCGGGGGGGGGGGGGGGGGGCGGCGACAATAACCTACTGCGGGGTCCGGACGCATTTCTGCCAAAAGCCACTGGATTTCAAGATTTGTTTCTGAGTCTCTGGGATCATGGCTGTTCAGCAGCTTGGTCAGGAGCCAGAGAGGCCGTTCGTGGGCGATGACTTGGGATCTCATATTAAGATACTTGAAAAGATTTGAATTATTAATTTGCATAATTTTATTAATAGGTTAAATATGCTTTATATATTAGTCAACCGTTAATATGGTGGATTAAGATGAATAGTTCTTTTAGTAAGACCAAATGTGATATGTGGTGCTGGGGATTTGACCTGCTTTACTATCTTGCAAAGCCAGCTCCCTACTTGCTATACTATTTCTCTGGCCCCCTTTGTCCATTACTTAAGCCAGAAATCAGTATTTTTATATAGATGGGAACACTTATATTTGATGCATGGACTTAAACTGGGTCTGCTCATGCGAAGTTATGCTCCAGCTCATTGCTATTCTGGACATTTGGATATATGACATTAGATCAATAACACCACTCCACAGAAACCATCCTTATGATGTCTCAAATAATTAAAACTGAGAAATGATAAAACAAAGAAATGATTGAGCAATTCTACCCATGGCATCTATTCCAATAACAACAGTGAACTGAAACACAACATCTTAGTTTACTGCAA